TCATGAAAACCGGTGACCCGGCCCGGTCCCAAAAAAAAATTAAAATTTTTTTTTTCAAAAAAAATAAATCATAATGGACATATTTGAATATTTTTTTGCTTATTGACTTACATAAGTTATGTACTTACAACACTAATATTATCTCAATTATGCACTATGCAGAAATTTTTGATTTGATTTATAGTTAGAGATGTCGTTTTCTTAACCTAAAGTCCTGTATCACGATCATTATATTTTTGTTTAATCTTTTATTGGATAATAACATGTCGTTTATTATTTTTTATATTAAAATATTTGAAATTTGTATCATTTTTTTTAGATATTTGAATATGTTTATAATTTTTTAATATAAATTATAAGATTACATATAATTACTGGGTTATGCGGTTGAACTAGTGACCCGCTAGTGAACCAGTGACTCAGTGACCCAGTACCTCGACCGAGTTAATGACCGAGCCGGTTTAATAACATTGATTTTAATCCTCAAGATCGTCCGAAGATAAACGTTGCGTTAATTGATATAAAAATTAACTACATGATGTCCTTATCGTACATAAAAGATATTTTCATAACCTTTTCACGCATTAAAGGGTCGCATACTCACCCCCTTTGTCCTTGAGGCATAGTTAACGTTAAAGCCAAAGGCGGTTTGCAGCTCCGTTGCACCTGGATTAAGCATTCAAGGAATAGTAATAGTTTGTATAAATTATTCTTATAACTTTTTAAATTCAATGGCTTTGTAGCATTAGATGCAGGTATGATTTTTTTTTTTTTTTTAAAAATACCAGTTGGTGTTTGAAGCGGGTCAACTGATTCAGTTTTAGGTTGAGTCTCTTGATCCTCTTAAGAATTGTAATTCTCATGAATTGAATTTACTACCTTATGAACATGTTAAATTCTGTAGTCTAAGTGGGTCACCACTAGACTAGCAACTTTTGGGTAGATATGATTTATTTTAGGGTAAAGCAGTTAAAGAAAATAAGTTATCACTAGTGAACATAAAATGACGTCATTTTGTGATGAAAATTAAGGTATTTTTATAATTCTAATTTATTATAGGGTTATATTAGTCTTTATCATTATAATTTTTTAATCTTATAGTCCCAAAACAATGTCGTTTTGGGCTCACTAGAGAAATATTTTTCCTTTATTTTAACAATGAATTTTAATATACACATTTTAACTTAGATTTTTTTTTCAGTCTTTCACAAAATTATAAGATATATATTTCTTGTTTTAAATAAAATATTAATTTATATATGACATCAAGAGTTTTAAAACACGCATGTTTAATAAAAGAGAAATACTTTTGCAGAAGTAAGTGTTGTACAAGATAAATTCAAGTGAACTTAGTTGAAATTTCAAGTATATGTAATAACACTCACTGTTTTGTGTATAGGGAATGCTTATTTTCACCAAAAAAAAAATGTGCTTACGAAAGAGAGATAATTTTGTCGATCTATAATTAAATTCAAAAAATAGATCAATATGAAATTGTAGGAGTTTTATCCATAGTGACATGCATAAAAAAATGTGAATTTAAAAAGGAAATATTAAAGCGCACATTGTAAAACATGTCATTTTAGTTATACATTTCAAATATTTTAAGCTTTCCATGTTTATGTTATATCTTTCTAATACTCTTCTACTTTAGGCCCGTTTGGATGAGTTTTTTAAAAAATAACTTTTTATACATTCCTTTTTTTTAAAATAATTTTTTAATAAGATAAAGTTATTTTACGTTTGGATGTATGATCTGAAAATCACTTTTACATAAAAAAGTTATTTGGAATATAAAAAAAAGCACTTTTTATATATAAAATTACAACAAAAGAGAGATAAAATAGCATGATAGTAGGATAAGAAGAGATAAAATAGTTATGATAGGATAAGATTAAAATTATATTTTAAAATTTATATTATTTTTTTCTAAAAAAAAAAAATTATATTATATTTTAATTTCTGCTTTTTTCAAAAGCAACCAACTACTAGCTATAAAAAAAAGAAACATTTTAACTTTTATTTTAAATTTTTCTTTTTTTAAAAATTGTTATCCAAACATCTAAAAATTCTCAAAAGGACTTTTATTTAAAAAAAAGCAACTTTTTTAGGAATAAAAACTCATCCAAACGTTGTTTACCAAAAAAAAAAACTCATCCAAACGAGCACTTTATCTTTCTTTAGAAAATGTGGACGCTAACCCCATAATCACCAATCATATAAAGTAATTATCTAGATTTTTTTGGTTGAAATAGTTCTTTTCACTACTAATTAAGTCATGCTAATATATTGAGAAGATTCTTAATTTTTTTTTACAAATTAACTTTAAAGTATTGTAACTGATCAATTAGTGTAGTGTTCTGAATTATTATTTTTTATCACTATTTGACGTTCTCTTTTATTTCTTCATTAATAATTTCAAAATATTTCTTGCATATAGAAATAAATGTAGTTAGAAGGAGAGTTGATGAATAAGAAAATTAGTGGCCAACCAATAATTATTAATTAAATTGGTAAGGAGTTTATTTTTATTGATTAGTGGTTTCAATTTTGAGGCCCTAAAAAAAGGGTCTTGAAAAAATAATCCCCTAAATTGAATTAATTAGATAATCAGTTAATTATCGGAAAAAAAAAATCGATGGGCTTGTGAGTGTAGACAAAGGAAGAGTCGACTCGGCCTGCAAATTATCTATGATCAATACGTGTATCTTTTTGTCATTATTTCACATTAAGCAAATTGTTTATATTAAACCAAAAAGGCCAAAACCTCGTGTTCCTCGTACGCCATTATACTATGGTCCCTTGAGCCACAGATCAATCGAAAACAAAGAATAATAGATAATATGTCCAACCCGGTTCACACGTCTGTTTCATATTTTATTTTACATTGTTAAACACTCGCGTCATCCGCTATGTGTGCTTATAGGATAATCAATTATTCACGTAATTTTATATATGGAGGTTGAATAAATATTAAGAATTATGCATTCACCTGTAGTGCATAAATAGCGTTATTCAATTTATTTGTAGAATGTATATAAGATAAGATTTCCATAAAATCTCATACACTATTAAATGAGTGGTTGAGGTTTCTTTTATTAATTTCTTTACACCAAACTTAAAATTAGTTCAGTAGTTCAAAATTTATGAAACAGTAATGCCTTGAATTTAAGTTTAAAAAATTTTACTTAGATTTTTCAAAATATTTAATTCTACTCGATCATTAGCAATTTAAAAAGATTTATCCATACATTTAACAATATATTGTAATATTATTTAATAATTTAACATTTAATTTTGTTATTAATATGATTAAACTCTTGAAAAAAAGTGTTAAAATATAACTAAGATAGAATTTTAGAATGCTCTAAAATAAAAATTGAATTATTTATCATATTATAAAGTAAAATAATTTTTATTGATATACCTATCTCTACTTTTCTATATTTCATTTCCACTTGAGGAACAAGAAACATAAAGAGAATCCTAAGGATCAAATATACCATTCTCTATTTAGATGGGAAGACTAGACATTTGTCTTTTGTGGAAAAGTTCTGAACTGGCAATCTGATAATACAAATGTAGTTGCCAATAATTACTCAGTTTATGATAGAACCAACTACCTATGTTGAATCCAATTGCAGAATAAGAAATATAGCAGAATAAGAAATATAGTTGCCAATTATTCAGTTTATGACAGAGCTAACTACCAATGTTGAATCCAATTGCAGAATAAGATACTTAAGATTTTGCACAAGTAGTCCTCATATACAGTCCTACGCGGTTCCTGCAGAACTTTTAGAAGAAATACAAATTATCACAGTTTGATTGTGGTCTTATTACTTGTATTCATGTTACTTAAAATGTGGTCCTTCGCGTGAAAACAAGATATGTCCAAAAGAACCCAAACACATATAGCTAGCATATAGCACTAGTTTCTTATTAGAGTTTCTTTAATCTCATGTATGTTGTAAGAGATAACATATTTTATGCTAAGACACAAAATAGTGTTATCCATACTAAAAAAAGAAAAGAAAAAATAGCAGCATAATTATAAAATTGTTTATGGCATAAGATATTAACCAGAGTAAATATCCTTTTTGGTTCTCAGCAAATTTTACGATGCCCGTTTTAGTCCCTAGCAAATAAAAAGGCCCATCGTGGTCCCTAAGAAATACAAAATGAACCCATTTTAGTTCTTTTGAGGACTAATATGGGCCTTTTTTGACATTGTGAGGGACCACAATTTCAACTAAATTGGTTCATTTTGAATTTCTTAGGGACCACAATGAGTCTTTTTATTTGCTAGGGACTAAATCGGGTATCGTAAAATTTGCTGAGGACCAAAAAGGATATTAACTAATATTTCCATTCTTATTAATTAGCCATCAAGTAATACTCACTTCACACGTTACTATTATTGATAAGAAGAGCTAACTTGGAAGAAAAATATAAGAGTTTTTTAAGGCGGGCTCCCAAGCTGTGTATAAGATATGTAACAAAGAATATAATAAAATAGAATGAGATAGAATTAAATGAAATAGAGTAGAAGAAAAATATTATATTATTTAAATATTATATGATAATAGGTCCGAGTAAATCTTTCAAGGGGTTTGATTTTCTCATGTTAAATGAGAATTCAATTCTCATGTTGTAGAGATAAAAAGCATGTGTGACCCATGTGTTAGAAAAAATTATATGTAGGACCCATGTCAACACAGAAATCAAAGGGTGTGTAGAAAAATTTGAATTCTCATGTTAAATGTGAATTATAAAACCCTTTCATTATATTATAACTTTGATTATAATTTTTTCATATCAACGTTTTGCAAGTGGAGTTAACTCCTCAAAAAAAATAAAATTCCTTATATAGAACTTGGAGAGTGTAACACACCTTTAACACATGTATACTTTTCTCTTCGGCTATAAATACCAAACTTGGCTACCTCACAAGCCACAAGCTTCTCCTACATTTTCATAAGTAATAGTACTGTTGATCAATGGCATCTACGTTAAAGACGTTGGGCTTCGGCAAGAGCCAACAGATCAAAGGGACTGTGGTGATAATGGCCAAGAATGTGTTGGACTTTAACGCCATAACCTCAGCTGCTACTACCGGTGTTTCTGGCTTTCTTGGCGGGTTCTTCGACGCTGCCGGCAGCTTAGCTGGTGGTTTAGCTGATGACGTTACTGCCATCTTCAGCCGTAGTGTCTCCCTGCAGTTAATCAGTGCAACCAACACAGATAGTTTGTTCTCTCGCTTTGCATTCTTTTCTTTCAATTTGCAAGACAGACGCACATATATACACGCATATATATATAGGTTTAGTGTTTTTTTATGTTATATAAGAGATAAATTTTATCTTCTACACATACATAAAAGTGTACGGGGTTCATATTTTCTCCTTCTTGCGGTTTTTACATGGGTCACACACAGACTTTTATGTACGTGTAGAAATATTTTTACCTCCTACAATTAATATTAGAAACATCAAATTATATATATATATATATATATATATATATATATATATATAGACAGGATATTCTTACACCGGTGTAAGAGTTAGAAGTCTTACACTCAATCTTGACCATGATCCACTTGTATCCAATGACTCACATTACTAAAAAATTTGAGCCCTTAGATATAAGTGGGATCAGCGGACAAGATTGAGAGTATAACTTAGCACTGGTGTAAAATGATCATATATATATATATATATATATATATATATATATATATATATATATATAAATATATATATATGGGGGATTAGTGTTTCTTATATGATAGAAGATAATTTTATCTCCTATACACACATGTGAAACCATATTAGAAGAAGAGATAGAAAATAAAAATTGGGCTCACACACTTTGAAATATATGTAGGAGATAAAATTATATATATCCTATAATATGAGAAATATTAATTCTTATATATATCTAAAAAAAATTAGTTATTATTAATGTTTCATGAATTAGTGCTTCCATCTTCAAGTTCTTTTAAAATTCCCACGTCCAAATCAGCGTGCTAACTCACACAACCTTTACACAACAAATGATATAGGATTCTATTGTGGAAATATTATTTATAATTGTGCTGAATTTGCCAAGAAAATAGTACTTTTTATTTATTTATTTATTTCAGCAGCAACTGTTCTTCAATAGTATATAAATTGTGTGGAAAAAAAATATGCATGCAAGTGTCAGTTTTTTAAAGATTATTGTTCGATCACTTGACTCATGATTTGGAATTTTTTTTTTTTTTTGTAGGAAATGGAAATGGGAAACTTGGAAAGGAAACCTTCGTAAATAAACATCTTCCAACGTTACCAACCTTGGGAGATAGGCAGGATGCATTCGATATTTATTTTGATTGGGATGCTGATTTTGGAATACCAGGAGCATTTTACTTTAGAAACTATCTGCAACGTGATGAGTTCTTCCTTGTCAGTGTAACACTTGAAGACATACCAAATCATGGAACCATTCACTTTGTTTGTAACTCATGGGTTTACAACTCAAAGAAATACAAAAAGGATCGCATTTTCTTTGACAGTAATGTAAGCTCTTAACCAAGTAACTAGTTATGAAATTTAAATACTATTCTCCTAATGTTTAGTCCCAACCATTTTATTTTTTTTTTCATTCTATAAATGAGAAAATCATTGTATATATTGCAGACATATCTTCCAAGTGAAACACCAGCTCCACTAGTTAAGTATAGAGAAGAAGAGTTGCTGAATTTAAGAGGAGATGGAAAAGGGAAGCGCGTGGAATGGGAAAGGATCTATGATTATGATGTCTACAATGATTTAGGCAATCCGGATGGTGGTGCAGCTCGCCCAATCCTTGGAGGCTCTAGCACCTATCCCTATCCTCGTAGGGTTAGAACCGGTAGAAATCCAACCAGAAAAGGTTAGACTTTTACTTTTTAATTATGATTTTTTTTTCTTCCAATTTTTCTGTTGATGATATATAATGTAACCAACGGAAGAATTGGAAGAAAAAAATGTAAGGTAATGTTTTGTTGACCACTAAGCATATATAATTTTATTAGTTTGTTATAAAATTGTGCAATTTGCTAATTTGCTGATATTTAATCTACTACTATTTGATTCTTGACAGATCCAAAAAGTGAGCAACCAGGGGAGGTTTATATCCCAAGAGATGAAAATTTTGGTCATCTGAAGTCATCAGATTTCCTTACATATGGAATAAAATCTTTATCTCAAGACGTTTTACCTCTGTTTCAATCTTTAATTTTTGATTTGAATTTCACACCGAATGAGTTTGCTAGCTTCGATGACGTGCGTGGACTCTATGAAGGTGGAATTACACTCCCTACTAATATACTCAGCAAATTTAGCCCCTTACCTGTTCTCCAGGAAATCTTCCGCACTGATGGTGAACAAGTCCTCAAGTTTCCACCACCCCATGTAATCAAAGGTATATATATCTTAATTGAACCATCTTTACTTAACATGACAGTTATTAGCATCATATTTGAATTCAACAGCAACACTTATTTGCTGAATTAATCCCATTTTGTCAATTATTTTATTATTTTGAGCAGTTAGTAAATCTGAATGGATGACTGATGATGAATTTGCAAGAGAGATGATTGCTGGTGTAAATCCTTGTGTAATTCGCCTTCTTCAAGTATGTCCAAATATTTTTATTCTTAAACTTTGGTGTCACTATTCGTCATCTTTCATTATATTATTCTTTAACAATGGTAGGAGTTCCCACCACAAAGCAAGCTAGATGCCAGTGTCTACGGTGATCAAACTAGTACAATAACAAAAGAACACTTGGAGACTAACCTAGATGGGGTCACAGTAGATGAGGTAATGATGTGAATACATACTTTTCATTGTAAAATAACATATTAAGACTTTCTACTATGGCCGGAAACTATGAAACTATGTTATTGAAATTAAATTTATGGAACAGGCACTTAATGGTCAGAGACTACTCATATTAGATTACCATGACGCATTCTTGCCATATTTGAGTAAGATAAACCAAAATGCAAAGGCTTATGCCACGAGGACAATCGTGTTCTTGAAAGATGATGGAACTCTAAAGCCTCTGGCCATTGAATTAAGTTTGCCACATCCAGATGGTGATAAGTTTGGTGCCGTCAGTAAAGTAATCTTGCCCGCGAATGTTGGTGTTGAAAGTACTATTTGGCTATTGGCCAAGGCTTATGTTATTGTAAATGATGCATGTTATCACCAGTTAATGAGCCACTGGTAAGAAATCCACTAGTGATATCTATAAACATGTTTAGTCTTATGTATGCACACATGAAATGATTATGAATAATTTTTTCATGTGAACGCAGGTTAAATACTCATGCAGTGATGGAGCCATTTGTCATAGCAACAAACAGGCATCTTAGTGTGCTTCACCCTATTTATAAACTTCTATATCCTCACTATCGTGACACCATCAATATCAATGGACTTGCTCGTCATGCCCTGATTAATGCAGGTGGAATTATAGAGCAATCATTTTTGCCTGGACCGTATTCTATTGAGATGTCTTCGGTGGCTTACAAGAATTGGGTTTTTACTGACCAAGCATTACCAGCTGATCTCATCAAGAGGTAATATTAATAAATATACACCACTAGAAAAAAATAAAAAATTAAATTTATCATTTTCAGTTATTAGGAATGACTTGCAGTTATTAATAAAAAAAAATTTGCTCGAATGATTCAGAGGATTGGCAGTTGAGGATCCCTCTTCCCCTCATGGTCTTCGCCTTGTGATAGAGGACTACCCTTATGCTGTTGATGGACTAGAAATATGGGATGCTATTAAGACATGGGTCCAAGACTATGTCTCCTTGTACTATGCCACAGATGTGGCTGTTCAAAATGACTCTGAACTTCAAGTTTGGTGGAAGGAAGCTGTAGAAAAGGGCCATGCTGACTTGAAAGATAAGCCATGGTGGCCTAAGTTGCAGACTCTTGAAGAACTTATTCAATCATGCACTATTATCGTATGGATTGCTTCTGCTCTTCATGCAGCTGTTAATTTTGGACAATATCCTTATGGAGGTTATATCCTGAACCGTCCAACTATTAGTAGAAGATTGATCCCAGAAAAAGGAACTCCAGAATATGATGAGATGACAAAGAATTCTCAAAAGGCTTATTTGAGAACAATTACACCAAAATTCCAAACTCTTGTTGACCTTTCAGTGATTGAGATATTGTCAAGGCATGCTTCTGATGAGGTCTACCTTGGGGAGAGGGATAATCCAAATTGGACAAGTGATTCGAGGGCATTGCAAGCCTTCAAAAAGTTTGGAAGCAAGTTGACAGAAATTGAGGAAAAGATCATAGGGAGGAACAACAATTCAAGTCTGAGAAATCGATCGGGGCCAATTAAACTGCCCTACACTTTGCTCCTTCCTACAAGTGATGAAGGGTTGACTTTCAGAGGAATTCCCAATAGTATCTCTATATGAAAAGAGTGTGTGGCTTACTCATATGACTATTGTACTTTCTAATAAAAATAGATGATATCTCAATGTGAAAAGAGTGTGTGGTTTCTTTATCTTTATCTTTAGTAGTTTCTAATAAACTTAGATGTTGCTTGTCTATGTATAGTTAATGTCTTTATGTTTGTAGTACTGTATTTGGATGCCCTCGGTTTGGATGTAATAAAGTGTTTTCCCTATCACTTTGTATTTATTACACGTTATGTTTTCCAGCGGTATGTTAAAGCAATTATGTTTATTATTTTTCTGAGAATCCCACCTTAGGAATATAAAAAATTAAAATCTCCATATTTTACAACAGTAACGAACCATTATAAAGAGTATGAGAATTATTTCTTTCAAATCAAACAAATGCTAATTTGTTCTAAGGTAGTAGTGTATAATTTGGGCTGTACATGATGAATGTGCAGGGTAGGTAGTGGAGAAAATTCATTCAATAGAAAATTACGATCAGCAAAAATACTAAATTGAAAAGAAGAAAAAAAAATCCCGTACATATATTATGCTGAAAAGGTTGGAGACTTATGTTTGAACTGGAGTGAATTGTACGGAAAACACAATAAGTTGTTCCAATTTATTTTTTAAATTTTTTTCTAAATTAACGCAATCAATCTCACACGTTGACCACCGTATGAGACAGATTCCGCCACATCAATGATGCAGGACTTATGCCAATGTAATGTTAGTGTATAAGTTTTGCACGTTTCCCGTAAGTCTTTTAAATTTGTCAAGCTGCCATGTTATATTAAGTTTGGTATGGTCAACGGGTACTCCGCCCTTTTCTAAATTATAATTTTTTATTAGTACTAATAGTTAACATCTCCCAAAAAATATTCGTAACGTTAATGTTTTTTATTAGTCTTAATAATACTTAAAATTTTAAAATTTTACTTTCATCCCTATTATAAAAAATTATGGGTCTGCCACTGTGTGCCGAGTTAAAAGAGTATCACATGATCAACATATGAGACTTCCACGTTGAGATTAGGTCATGCATTATTGGCGTATATGACTTATCTCGTATGGTGGTCAGCAAGATTGATTGCATCAATTTGAAAAGTCTTTTGAAAAATAAATTAAATAAATATTTTAAAAAAAACTTGAGAAAAATTCAAAAACCTTCTTGTGATATTGTTTTGAATTACTTACATTGATATGCTTTTTCTTAGTCACTTAGTCCCCTGTCAATTTATTCCATACACCCCCCCTTAACACGAGTAGAAATTAACTAAGTATATTTATTCTATCCTTTTTAGAGGAAGAAAATAAAGTGATAAAAAAATAAGACTAAATGTTATGAAAACTTAGAACACTCAATAAAAGACTAAAAGAAAAAACAAAATAAAAATCAAATGTGTCAAAATACTCAATAATAGTAATCCAAAAAAAAGGAAAAATAATAAAAAAATCAAATGTGTCAAAATAAAAAAATAGAAGAAAAATAAGACTAAATATTTAAAAATCACAACAAAGATCAAACAAAAAGGAGTTATCGGTTTGCTCTAGCATAAGGAATCAACTCACAAAACATAAAGAAAGCGTTTTGCGGGACTCACAAATGAAAAAAAAAACTGAAGTTAAAAAAAATGAAAGTTTGAGTGAAAACTACCATTGTAGATGAGGTTTGATGTACCACCATTATTGGTGAGGTTTGATATCTTCTATTCATTATTTCCATAGTGGAAGTTTGATTCTGAACTATTATTCTGTGAATTTTTACTTCTTCATATTGGAGAAGATTTTCTTACGTTAAAATCTGCTTATGTTCACTCTCTCTCTCTCTCTCTCTCGCAATTTTCTATTTTTGTTGCGCGTAAGCTGACCTTGTCAGTTTAGGCCGACCTCTCTAATAGCCGAGCTCCGAGCTCGACGTTTGACTTCCGTAAAGGCTTCATAGCCGAGATTGTGGGACCGAGTTCGTCCCATCAATGGTATCAAAGCCCGGGTTCTAAAGGAGACGATATGGAGACCAATGGCTCTACTAGTGCCCATAGTGGAGACATGTTCAAGCTGACGCGGATAACTTCACATACTGGAGACTAATGATGGAAGACCACCTGTATTACAAAGACTTGTTTGAGCCCATCCTCAATGCGAAGAGACCAGAAGGAAAGAACTAGAAGGAATGAGATGTCCTGAATCAAAAAGGCGGTGGTCATGATCAGAAAATACATTGACAAAAGCCTCTATGAGCAAGTGTTCGAGTTTATGAATGCGTACAAGTTATGGACGAAGTTGGAGTCTATGATTTAGAAGAAGACTCCCAAGAACAAAGCACATTTGGTACGCTGACTTGTGAAGCTTGAATACAAGGATGGAACAAGTATGATTGAGCACCTCAACACTTACAAAGGTATTGTGAATCGGCTATCTAAGGTCGAGAGGAAGGTTGATCACGAGATGAAGGCTTTGTTGTTATTGAGCTCGCTACTAGAAAGTTGGGATACTCTGGTGGTGGCTTTGAGCCGGCTCCTGATGGTAAGTTGACAATGAAAACTATGACTGACAGCCTCTTGAATGAAGAAGAAACCAACTCAATCCGAGATGGACCCATGATGGAGTTGTGGCGAAAATGCCTCAGCCATATGAGCAAGAAGGGGCTCCAGATTTAGAATAAGAAAGGACTTATGACTGCCAAGATAATGAGGTCTGAGATGAGCATGATGAGTTGAACCCTCAACCTGAAGAACAACTCAAACACTCTACTTGAGTAAGATGACCTTCAACTAGGTACTCACCTGATGAATAAATTGTTGTTGCTGAAGATGGTGAACCTCAGAGTTATGATGAGACTATGACGAGCTCAGAAAAAAGAAGAATGAAAGAAAGCAATACAGGACGAGATGAAGTCCATGCATGAAAATCAAACATATGAGTTGATCGAGTTTCCTGAAGGAATATGAGCTCTGAAGAACAAGTGGGTCTATAAAATAAAACATGAAGAGAATGGCCAGAAGTCGAGATATAAAGCTCAGATTCTGGTGAAAGGCTGCAATCAGAAAAAAGCGGTTGATTTTGAGAAGATATTCTTTCTCGTGGTGAAGATGACCTCGATCCGAATAGTGTTAGCCATGGCAGCATCAATAGACCTCATGATGGATGAAAATGGATGTGAAGACGACATTCCTTCTTGCACCGGCGGACCCACACTTGTGTAAGTATGTAACATTTTTATAATTATTAATAAAAACATATCATTTAACAATGACAATAAAAGCAAATCAAATGCACCCTTAAAGGTTATACAATCCATTTCTTCACTTTAAAAACAGATATATATGATTAAATTAAGAAACTTATATAAAACAAATGATATTTTCACTTCTTATAACTTGTATTATTATTTATTTTTATAAATGATGACATTAAGGTTTGAACCTATAACTTTATATAATTCTTGATTACTATTTTTTTACATTAAGTTGAAGTTGTCTTTTCTTGCTTATATTCTTTTTTTAATGCATTTAAAAATTTCTTTAAAAATGAAATTCAAGGACGCAGCCCCTGAACCCCGCCACTAAGTGTGTAGACATAAATAAAATTTTCTGGGTCCGTCAATGCCTTCACATAGACCTTGAAGAAGAAATCTTTATGGAGCAACCTGAAGGGTTCCGAGCTCCAGGACAAGAAGACTTGATATGTCAGTTGAGCTTGAAGCAAGCATCTCGGCAGTGGTATAATAAGTTTGAATTCTTCATGACTGATTATAAGTTTATGAAAACAGAAGCCGACCACTGCGTATTTGTGAAGATGTATGAGGTCGGAGAGTTTTTGATGTTATTGTTATATGTTGACGACAAGCTAATTGTAGGGCAAGACAAGTCAAGAATAGCCGCCCTGAAAAAGGCATTATGCTCATCCTTCGCGATGAAGGACCTCAGCCCTGCAACATATTCTCGGAATTAAGATAATCCGATATGGACAAAAGAAACTACTGTGGCTGAGTCAAGAAAATTACATTGAGAAGATTATGAAGAGATTTAGCATGGCCAAAGCCAAGAATATGAGACAACCCCTTAGCCGGACACATAAAGCTGAATCGAAAACAATGTCTGAGGTCTGATGAAGACAAAGATGAGATGTTAAAGATCATGTACCAATCCACCGTCGGAAGCTTGATGTATGCAATGGTTTGTACGAAACCTGACTTGGTATATGCTGTTGGAATGGTGAGCCGATATTTATCGAACCCCGGCAAAGAGCACTGGGAAGCAGTGAAGTGAATTTTTAAGTATCTCAGAAGAACAATAAATTTATGCCTCCGATTTGGAGAAGGTAAGGTCGAGCTAAAAGGCTATACATATGCTGATTTAGAGGGAGATTTCGACTCAATGAAATCTACAACGAGATATTTGATGACATTTGCAGTAGGAGCTATCTCCTGACAATAAAAATTGCAAAAGTGTGTGGCACTTTCGACGATAGAGGCTAAGTACATAGCCGCGACTAAGGCAAGCAAGGAAATGATATGGATGAAGAAGTTTCTCTCTGAACTCGACCATGATCAAGAGAAGTACGAGCTGAAGTGTGACAATCAAAGCGCTATTCATCTTGCGAAGAATTCGACCTATCACTCCCGTACTAAGCATATTGATATGAAGTATCACTGGATCCGGGATGTGGTGGAAAAGGGAGAGCTCAAACTCGCCAAAGTGCACACCGAACTCAACTGGTTCGACATAATGACAAAGCTGGTACGAGCAAGGAAATTTGAAGACTGTTGTGAAGGTGTCGGGTTATTGCTGAAGATAATGCATTGAAGTCGTAATGGAGAGAAATATTGGGCTCTTCCTCCTTAATGCTACCAAGGCTCAATGATTGGTGAATGGGGCTTAAGAAAGTCAAGAACTTAGGGACCAAGAAACCCTAAATCGAGACAACGACCAAAGTGCCACACTTTTGGCAAAAAATTACCTGAATGACACGCTCTGCAATTTTTCCCCCAAAATGTCATGTCACCTAACTCG